ATTAATAACAGGGAAGCACACTATCTAACCAGGAGAAGATAAAGAAAAGGTGGAAACATTATATTGAACATTTATACAGGATTTATACTGAAACAGGGACGTCTACATTGGGTCGGGCATGTCGTGAGAATGGCTGGTGGTCAGATTCCAAAAGATCTCCTGTATGAAGTATTACTGCAGGGAAATCGCCCAGAGGCAGATCAAAAGATCTCCTGTATGAAGAATTACTGCAGGGAAATCGCCCAGAGGGAGATCACCACTGCGATACAAGGATACAGTGGTGCCCCGTATGAGGGCCTTAGGAATGGATCTCAACAGATGGGAAACCTTGACATCTGAGCGTTCAGCCTGGAGGCAGGCGGTGCATCACGGCCTCTCCCATTTTGAAGAGACACTGGTCCAGCAGGCCGAGGCAAAGAGGCACTCCCGAAACCAGCAAAATCAGGGAGCTGGACGCAGAGCAGATTGTATTCGTCTTCAGTGTGGAAGGGATTGTCACTCTTGAATTGGCCTTGTCAGCCACACTAGACACTGTTCCAAAACTTCTAGTATCTCGAGACTGAAGGTTGTCTAATCTAATCTATTACAGGAGGGGTATAAAGATGACAGATTCCTTTGAAGAGGTATCCACTGATGAAGAACCAGCAGTTATAGAAAGTGAAGTGAAAGCTGCCTAGAAAACAGTAGGAAGAAATAAATTAACCAGATCCAGCAGTAGATGGACCACCAGTAGAACTCTTTCAAGTCACAGGGAATGAATGTGTCAAAATCATAACAAGCCAGCAAATGGAATATAATAGCCCACAGACTAGAAATACTCAATATACATACCAATCCCCAAGAAAGGATACACCAAGGAGTGTGGTAACTATAGAACCATTGTACTAATTTCCCATGGAAGCAAAGTGATGCTCACGGGGTTTCAACAAGGCTTTTACCTTTATATGGATTGAGAAATGACGGAGGTTGAAGCTGGATTCCAAAAAGGAAGAGGCACTTGAGATCAAATTGCAAATACCCACTGGCTACTGGAGTGCAACAAAGAGTTTCAGAAAATCAGTCTATACTTTATAGACAACAATAAATGAGTGTGCCTCAGCACTTGATTGTCCTGATGTGTAACTATTCTGGACAAGAAGCTACCATTATGACAGAATATGGAGAGACTGAATGTTTTTTATAGGCAAAGGTACCAGACAAAGGTGCATTTTGTCCCTTTATCTGTTTGATCCATATCACAAAGGTGCATTTTGTCCCCTTATCTGTTTGATTTATATACAGAACATATCACACAGAAAGCCAAACTAGATTCAGATGAAAGAGAATTGAAAATTGGTGGAAGAAACATTAATAATTTAAGATATACAGATGACACCTACTTACTGGTAAGAAGCAGCAATGACTTGAAATGACTTTTAGTGGAAGTGAAAACAAAAAATTGCTGAAGCTGGATCACAGCTGAATAGTGGCGGGTGGCGGGGGTGTTGCCGAGGCTGGCGAAGCCTCTGTTTCAGAACCGTTTTACCACACTCAAATAAAATGTAAAATTCAGTTAGTGTTTTTAGTCAAAGCATCCTTTCATGTAAGCATTGATATAGTCACAGTTCCTCATTCAAGGCCACCCCATTTGGCCCTTCTCCCCTGACGGAACAGCTGCAGTGTTAGACCTTCTAATGTGGTTAACTGCTGAATCTTACACGTGTTTACTCAAGTTAATTTACTCATAAATTAACTTTATCTCTGGTTTTTCTCAATTTAATGTAATCGCATGGTTTTCCTTTTCACAATTCTTCATATTGCCTTGGGCAGCAGGAGCCAGGAGGACGAAGGACAAGGAAACAAGAACCACCACCCCCTTCCCAGTAACATGGAACCAAAACTTATTTGCCAGGATCCACAATATAGTGGGCAGATGGAGAAAAAGAGAGAGAGAGGACTTGGAATTCTGTCAGGCTTTTCTGCAATATATCAAACCGCTGCTTCTTTTTCTTCCAATTTTTTCTCAATTCTCTTGTCATGTGAAAGTCATTACCACGCACACCCATGGAGTTCTGCTAACATCTCCGCTTGTGCAATCGACCTTTAGATTTAATAGAAATTCATGTTATTCCTAAAGTTACAGAAGAGGGAAGTGCTAGAACACAGGCTTCGCCACCCAGAACACAGGCTGGGAACTTGAGACCTTCCAGAAGTTTTTGGACTGCAGCTCTCATCATTCCTTACCGTTGGCTATATTGACTACGACTGGTGTGAGTTTCAGGCGACATCTGTAGAGCCACAAGTTGCCCAACCTTACAGTGAGGGCATTTGAATTCTTCTACAAATTAGTTTAACAAATTATTTAATGGGCCTCCTCCCACCCATTTAATAATGTGTTACCAAATTAAAAACAGTATTTAAAAGCTAAAAACAGTTAAGTATACAAATATTAAAAATGAATTAGACACATATATTAAAATAGTAAATGAAATTAATATTAAAACACATTTGAAACAACACAGCACAACAATCCATTTAAAAAAAACACCCTACGACTATTTGCCTGCTGGAGAGAAGTCATGGGCTCAGTGAAATGTGACCTGCCTCCTAGCAAATACATTTATTCACTTAAAGTCAATACAGCTGACCTAGAGAAGCTAAACAAATCAGAGAACACTCTCCTAGTTGTGTGTATTTAGCTATTTATCTGAAGAATCAAATACTGGTTCTTCCATCTCAACACGCAACCTACTTTCCAGCTCTAAATCATTTCTAGATATGACTTAAGTCACAACAGAAGACACTGAGTTAAAAATGCATGTGAATGCATCAGCCCTAGAGACAAATTGCAGGCTAAGGTCAAAAGCTAAGTGTGCAGAACTGTGAACTGGCTAAAGATGGCTATGAGAAACTCAGTAATATCAGTGGCCCATCTAGCTCAGCCTATGACGGTCTACTGTGATTTGAAGTATCACTTCAAGATTCCAAACAGATCATCAGCAGTTACCTGGGATCATCCACAAATGCAAGGGAGTGACATAGGAACCTCCAACATACATAACAAGCAGTATAGTAGTGACCAAAATGGTAATATCTAAGCAAAGCTCCTCATTCCTTTTCCAGAAACAGTATCACGCAGATACTATGGCCGTATCGACCAATTCCATTTCACTGTAAATCCCATGAAGGCACTGAAAACAATACAGGGCTCAAAATACATAAAGCTTTTATCTAAAAAGACAATAAAACAGACTATAAGACAATTACTGGCATTCTGATGATTTTCTTCCTTGCTTTGTGGACATTAGAAATAGCATTTCTCATATTATAGTTTCAATGTGAAATAAGGATGTGCATGTTTTTGTTTCAGTCACAAGATAAAACAATCATCTCAAAATATTTCTGTGCCCAGCTGGAGTTCCATGAGGAAAATATTGTAACACTCCATAAGCCCATTTGGTCTCTTTCTTTCATAATGGGCATTTCTTTCTAATTGCTGTCATAACCCAATAGTTTCTGGGAATCAGAGTCCCTAAGCAAACACATAAAATGTCACATGTGCTTCTGCTGAAAACTCATGTTCTATCTGACACTTGGAAAAGACAGTGAGGATCTTACATGACGGGCAGATCTGATCAGAATGAGGCGTTCTGTTAGATATTGAGGTCCTAAACCATTTAAGGACTTGTAGGTTGACACCATCAACTTGAAACTGGCATGGAAGTGAAAAGGTAACCAGTGCAAGGCGGCCAGTGTGAGGGAAATATGTTGGTGTCTTCTAACTCTACTCAACAATATGGGTGCCGAGTTCTGGACCGGTTGCAGTCTCCATAACAGCCCCGAAGGTAGCCCCATGTAAAGAGCATTGCAGTAGTCTAATCTCGAGACTACCAGTACATGAACCAGCGTGGTGAGGGCCACAACTGGGCGATCCATCTCAGATCAAACTAGGCAGAATGAACTACTAATGCTATCTGGGACTGACAGTGTCAGGTCCAGGATATGCCCAAGCTGCACGCCTCATCCTTCATGGAAAGAGTAGCAAACCCATATGAGGGAAGCACCCAGACTGCAAACACTAGGGGCACCCACCCACAGGATTTCCATCTTGTCCGGGTTCAGTCTCAGTCTATTATCCCTCATCCATCCCAGCCCCGCATCCAGGCAGCACTCAAGGGACAGAACGGCATCCACTGCAGAGGGATGGAAGGAGAGATAGAGCTAGGTGTCATATCCCCATATTGGTGACATAAACCTGATGACCTCCCCCAGCAGCCTCATATAGATGTTAAATAGCATCAGGGAGATGATTGACCCCTATGGGACTCCACAACTGAGAGTCCACGGAACTGACATCATCTCCCCAAGTAAGACCGTCTCCCTTGTAAGACTGTCTGGGGACGGTCTTATAAGGAGCCAAGCCAAGGCCTAACCTCTGATCCCCAATCCAGAGAGCCTCCCCAGGAATATACCATGGTCGACGGTATCAAAGGTTGCTGATAGGTCAAGGAGGACCAACAAGGATGTTTTGCTCTTATTGGCCTTCCTCAAAAGGTCATCTTGCAGGGTGACCAATGCCGTCTCTGAAAGGGGGCCATGACTTGGCCAACACTGGTTTAAGGGGTTACATGATGACAGGGAAAAAGAGAACGTTTTCCAAAGTTCTCCATATACGTACAGATATACAGTGGTGCCCCGCATGACGACGATAATCCGTTCTGTCAAAATTGCTGTACAGTGAAATTGTTGTCATGGGGGGAAAATCCCCATTGGAATGCACTGAAAACTGGTTAATGCGTTCCAATGGGGAAATACCTCGTCGTCCAGCAAAGATCCCCCATAGAGAGCCGCCGATCAGCTGTTTAAAATCCCTGTGTTGCAAAGCTTCTCTCTGGAAAACACCCATTTTGCAAAGGGAGGGAAGCCATGAAGGGAAGCCATTTTGCGGATGGGGAAAAATCATCATTTTGCGAACAAACGGTTCGCAAAGCAGAGACCTAATCGACGTAAAGCTAAAAAACCCCATAGGAACCATCATTTTGCCATCGCTATAGCAATCGCAAAAAAGTCAACAAGCGATTTCGTAATCATGCAGGTCGTCGTAATGCAGGGCACCACTGTACACACATACCATGGAAACACAGTAGTCTGCTGGTGTTTATGGCAGTTGCTTTGATTTTTTTATATATTTTATTTCCTTTTTTTGTCGGTGCAGAGTTGATCTAGTACTAAACTAATGTACCAAGGTAGTGAGAAGGTGCTCTGGCACTAGACTCACTTGTTTGCTAAAAAAAACCTTCAGGGTGATGCAGGAGAAAGATTTTGGGGGTGGATGTTCACACTGTTCCAAAACATGATGTTCCAGATTACTAGACCACTAGAAAATGACCCAAAGTTCCATCCCCTGAACCTTTTGGAAAACAAAACAAAGAATCATACAGACAAAAACAGTATTCAAATCATTGGAAGAAAAAGCAGACGCCCCCAGTGGCAGGGGAAAAAAGCCCAAACTCTAAGGAAAAAAAGGACAGGATGATTCACATCAACCTTTCTGTCATGTGAACATTGAAAAATACTTTAAATATACCTATGCCATTTCTGGAGCAAACTGCAAATATTTTTCCAATATAGTTGCATGTTTGGAAAGCAGTAGATTCAAATAAAATATACTATAACTCTGTTGCTAATTGACCAAAGATATTTTAGAACTTCCCATTGTGTTTTACAAAGTTTGCCAATGATTCCTTCACTTATAGAAAATTCTTCCAAGTCCATATTTACTGTGTCAAAATTGGTCCATACTCGAAAAATATTCTCATTTATATCCTAATCTTTAGAATTCGAAACCACATACCACCAGTTCGTCTTTTTCCTTGACAGAAAGTCCAAAAAGGGCTTCCAGATAGATCTAAAGTTCATCAATGCTCAGTCTTTCATTAAAGCGGAGAGCTTCACCATTTCCAACACTTTGAGTAATCAATCTTCCACTAAGAATGCTTTATTCATTTTCCAGTATTGAGCACAGAAGTGTCTTGTCACTGTTGTCCAGTATCTAATGAGTACAGCTGTATTCTTTTCTAAATGATTGTCTACCAGTCTCAAAAGGAATAGTTCTGGTTTTAATTGCAAGTTAATTTTCAATATCTTTTGTTCCCAATTAGGTGGGGCAACTTTGATCCAAGGCAGAGAGCAGGGAAAGGGTCGTCACATCCACAACAAAAAACGACGTCCTGACTGAGATATCTTTTTCTCTTGCCGTTTCAGGCATTTTGTTCCTTGGTCACCAAAGCCATTTTTGTCCAGACTAGAAAAAGAAAGAAAACCAGGAGAAACAAATAAATTCCTTGAATTGAAGCAGTACTTGTTATTTTGGTGATGCTATGTTAGCTTCAGAATAAAATCCAATTTCATTTTTCCTGCCATTGGAAAGGTTTTTATCAGCTCAAAGCAGCCATTTCTTCTCCCCTTTGAGCCTCCAAAGAACTGCTGAAGTGGGATGGGGGAGGCACTGGAACAGATTCCCCGGAGGGAACAAACAGGGAGAAAGTCCCGCTTCCCTTCACATAACAGTATGCTCTGCCCACAGACTTAGGGTGCCTGTAGTCCAGGGTCTCACAGGCCAGGAGATCTCTGGGAATGGTAAGTGATGGGCAAAAGCAAATTGGCCGGGGGTGTGTGTCACCTAGCTGACAATTTTTTTCAAAACTGGAAGAGGAAGTCTATTTCAGCCATACAAAAATTGAGGGGTGGAATTGCCTTTAGACCTTCAACTGTGCTTAAACATGTGAGAAGCTTTTCAGGCCACCCTTTTTACTGCAGGGGGAAGTTGGAGATTTTGGGGGAGGGCGCACTCAAGGCACATACGGTCAGTGACTGCTCATCCCGGTATCATTCTGCTTTCATAGCTCTTCAGACTAAGAAGGTGAAGTGAATTTCATTGAAGTTCAGGGAAATGGCAAAGGGTTGAACGTTGGTTTCCCAGAAGTATTGGGGGGGAGGGTATGGCAGGCTGCACAATTCCTGGTCCTGCTTTTAAAGCATAGCAAAATCCTCCTCTCACCCTGACCAAAACTTACTATATCAGGTTCATGCTGGTGCACGTCTCCATAAGGTGTCGGATGAAAGGCACAGATGCTTTGGTGAAGGAGTTGTCTTGAAGGTTTAGACTCTCCAGCTTGTGGCTGGTGCTCAGAACAATGCAGAGTTCTTGGGCACAAGCATCCGTGAGGTAATTCTCCCTGAGACTGGCAATGGAAAAGTGGAGGTGTCATCACGAGCTGATCATGCATTACATCCAAGCCCTAGCACTCTTTCTTCAGTGATTGGTTAAGAACAACATTAAAAGGACTGTATAGGTGGAATCAAACCAGTATAAGGTCTATAAAACCTATTATCAGCCTAGCTCTTGTCTGATGTTTGAGATGTAACAGGCCTCCTACTGACCTCTCCTTTGATTTGCATCATCATCATCATCCATCATCATCATCATCATCATCATCTGTAACTCTTTTTAGGTTCTCAAAAGATTGCTGAGCAGATGGATCTGCTGTGTTGGTATACATTTATACAACACAGATCCAGAGTTAGCATGGAAAAAGTACAGATTTACTAGAAATCCTCAAAGCACCTTGTTTCTCTATGAATCACCCACCTCATTTATTATGCCATATTCCAACTATAGAAATAGGTAATGACTAGAGATGGGCACAAATCACCAGGTTGTCAGTCCGTGACAGTTCATTTACTGGCCAAATAGGTGTTCAGTGCTTCCAAGCCCTGCCTCCTTCAGAGGTGTCCCATCTTCCCTGCCTCACCTTCTCCAGGTGCTGCCTCTGAGTGGTTGCCCGCTGGAGGAGGACGGGCTTGGACATACCAGAACCTGTTCAGCTGGCAAACGAACAGGAATCAGCTAATGAATCCACAGTTCATGCCCATCTCTACTAGTGACTAGAAGAGAGAAACTGTATTCCCTCAGACAAAACAAGACCAGGAGCAGACTGTGGTACTTACTGATCATGAACTGTTAATATCTAACATTAGAACAATCCTGAACAACAACACTAAAATAATAGTAGTGCCAAAATATAAACAGCATGACTAATGAATCTGAAGTCCACATAAAGTACAAATTTGCATTACAAAATCAACAGACTGTGAGCCAAAAGAAATGTGGAGTGAAACCAGAGATATTATTAGGGATGAAAGCAAAAAGACAAATCTTGTAGTAAAACGAAAAGGAAATCCTAGATGACAGAAGAAACACGTAAAATTACGAAGGACAAATGAGAAGCAAAAGTAAAAGGTGACAGAAGCAGGGTTACGCCCAGCACATTTTTCCTGTGATTGTCACATAGAAACAAAGAGAACTGTCACAACAACCAGTACAAAGAAATAGGGAACAAAAGGGGGTAAACGAGACATCTTCCAGAAAATACAAGAAATCAAAGGAATGCCGGTATAGCTATTAAAGTTACAGGGAAAGAATCTCCCAAAATCTTAACAATATGCCAACAAATATGGAAAACAAAACAATGGCCCTTACACTGGAAATGCTCAATATAAATTCCAATTCCTAAGAAAGGAGATGCCAAGGAGTGCAGCAACTGCAGGATGACTACTTTAAGTTCCCATGCAAGCAAAGTGATTCTCAAAGTGTTGCGACAAAGGCATTTACCATATATGGAGCGAGTTCTTGATGTTCAAGATGGATTTCAAAAAGGAAGAGGCACTTGAGATCACATTGCAAATTTCTGCTAGCTACAAGAGTGTACCAAAGAATTTCAGAAGATAAATCTATGCTTCATGGACCAGAGCAAAGCCTTTGACTTTGTAGATCATGAGAAACTATGGTTTATTCTGAAAGAAATGGGTGTGCCTCAATATTTGATTGTCTTGATGCTAACTTGTATTGTGGACAAGAAGCTACCATTAGGACAGAATATGGAGAGACAGAATGGTTTCCTATAGACCAACGTGTCAGACAAGGGTGCATTTTATCCCCTTATCTGTTTAATTTGCATGCAAAACATATACAGAAAGCTGGACTTGATACAAATGAAGGAAGAATGAAAATTAGTGGAAGAAGCAATAATCTATTTAGATTACATCATATTGGCAGAAAGCAACAATGACTTGAATTGACCTTTAGTTGAAGTGAAAGAAGAAAGTGCCGAAGAAGGCCTACAGTTGAATATTAAGAACAGAAAAATTATGACTACAAAAGAACAACACAACTTTAGTGCTGAAAATGAATAAAGTGAAATAGTCAGAGATTTTAAATACTGTAAGAGGGACGTGGTGGCGCTGCGGGCTAAACCGTAGAAGCCTGTGCTGCAGGGTCAGAAGACCAGCAGTCATAAGATCGAATCCACGCGAGGGAGTGAGCACCCGTCGCTTGTCCCAGCTCCCGCCAACCTAGCAGTTCGAAAGCATGCAAATGCAAGTAGACAAATAGGGACCACCTTGGTGGGAAGGTAATAGCGTTCCGTGTCTAAGTCGCACTGGCCATGTGACCACGGAAGATTGTCTTCGGACAAAACGCTGGCTCTATGGCTTGGAAACAGGGATGAGCACCGCCCCCTAGAGTCAAACATGACTGGACAAAAATTGTCAAGGGGAACCTTTACCTTTTTTTTGAATACTGTGGTTGATTTATCAATCCAAATGGAGACTGCAGCCAAGAAATCAGAAGAAGGTTCAGACTTTAGAGGGCAGCAACGGAGGAATTAGAACAGATCATCAAGTCTAAGGATGTGTCATGGAGATGAAGACCAAGATCATACAAGCACTTGTATTTCCAATCACCATGTATGTGTGTGAAAGCTGGACAGTTTGGAAAACTGACGAGAAAAAATTGGTTTGTTTGAAATGTGTTGTTTGGGGAGAGCTTTGTGAATACCCACAAAGATGAACAAGTGTGTCCTAGATCAAATCGGGCCTGAACTATCTCTGGAGGCAAAAAATACTGAAATTGGGGCTGCCCTACTTTGGGGACATCATGAGAAGGCGGGATTCTCTGAAAAAACAATAATACTGTACCAGATTTGAAGGTAGGAAGAAAAGAGGAAGACGAAATGCAAAATGGACTGACTCCTGAAAGGAATTCACAGGGCTAAGTTCACAAGAGCTGAGCAGGGCAGATGAGGACAGGACATTTTGGAGATATCTCATTCACAGAGTCGCCGTAAGTTGGAGGCAATTTGACAACATGAAGTAAGAGAGGAGAAAAATCCTTAAGTGTCTGTGTGTCACAACAGGAGTCTCCTTCCCTTCCAGGGTTGCATCCAATGTGTCTCATAAACCCTTATGAAGACATGCAAACATTTGGGCATCAGGACTGCATTTTATATGGGTCTCTGCCCCCCCCCCCCCACAACTTACTTTAGAGTAGTCAGGTTACAACCTACTTCCTTCAGAATGGTGCAGAGAACTTTCACTCCTGCATTTCCAAGCTTGTTACTTCCAAGACTGCGAAGGAGAGGAAAAGCAGAACACAAAAGTCCAGACTCTGAAGAGGTTCTTGCACGGTCAGAGAGAAATGTAAACAGAGGCAATCTGTGCAGTTAGCATCATGATAAGCAATGAACATATCTAATGGTTCATATGCCATTCTCAAAACCAAAGGGTAGCACCTAGGCCACTATTAGGTTTACTGTACATGTGCTGCCACACATTACAATACAGATCAAACTACATTCTCTGCCATCCCTGCTGGTTCCAAACCTGGATCAGCTGAGAATGCATAGCAGAACTTGCAGCTGCATTTATTAATTATTTGTTACATACAGCCTTCATTTTAACCAATGAGCTCAAAGTGGCCTATGAGGTCCACCTCCTCCAGGCTCACAAAACAACCTTTTAAGGTAGTTGAGATTGAGAGTGTGACTGACTCAAGGTTACCCAATGGGAACTTCAACCAAAGTTCTTGAACCATAGTTAAGTACATGAACCATTAACCAGCATATTTGGCAATGGCACAGGATTAATCCTCTTGAATCACAAGCCTCCCAGGATTGAGAGGATTCTACAAACAAACAAACAAACAAACAAACAAACAAACAAACAAACAAACAAACAAACAAACAAACAAACAAACAAACAAACATACATACATACATACATACATACATTAAATAAATAAATAAATAAATAAATAAATAAATAAATAAATAAATAAATAAATAAATAAATAAATAAATAAATAAATAAATAAATAAATAAATAAATAAATTCTGGCCTGTGGAACCTGTTTTCCTGCAGGAAACAACTCTACTAATCCAGGGACTGTGTATTCAAGGACCAACTCAAAAGCTCTCAATTTGAACCCTATAATGCCTAACAGCAACAGTTCGAATTCTCTGTTCTTGTAAAACAACAAGATGGAGGGCGGGGGTCACTTACTCTAAAGTTGTACAATTCTTTATTCCTGGGGCCAAAGCTCTGATGTGATGAGATTTCAGTCGGCAAAAGGTTAGCTCAATGGCGTAATCCTCAACTGCACTGTGCTGCAAGCAGAATGCCAGGACTCTGCAGTCCAACACTGACAATGTCTTGAAAGAAAGGTCAATTTTCTGGAAACAATGCATCACACGCCGTGGAAATTCTGCATCCTGCGTCTCAAACAGACAGTGGAGAAACTTCAGCAAGCGGCGGCCTTTCCGAAGAGGGTCCCCCAGAGCCACTTCTTCTGCTCTCTGCAGTAAGACAGGCTTCACAAAGTCCGACGACGTATCCAACTGCAGGGCTTCTTCAAGAAAGCCACGCACGTTTTCACTGCTCAAGCCAAATATGAAACACACGGTTAACATCATATGCTCATTGCCCGGCTTCTCGTTTTCAACCAAAAGTTTCCTCAGGTCTGCCGTACTGTTCTCCAGGTCTGGCACTGGCTCCCGCTGCAGGATATACCACATGGCAGCAAAAAACTCCTGAAAGCAGAGGTGCATAAAGCTGTACAGGTGGTATCGTCCAATCCCTTTCTGGAATGCTTTTTTGTCCAGAAACAGGTCTTTAAGAGCTGAGGCATCTAAATCATGTTCCTTAAGATCCTGTTCCTCAAACAAAATTTTCTGTTCCCAGATGCCATCCCGTGCCAAGGCACAGAGTTTCTTCAACTCACTCGGAGTGAACGTCATTGAATTATGCTGAAGGAGACGGTGAGAAAACTGCACAAAGACTTTCGTTGTGGTGTCCAAGGTGTCCGCAATTTCTTCTTCTGTCTCTAGTTCTACTTTGATGATAGAACAGATGATCCAACACACCATGGGAATGAAGCAGATGGTAGATACTGCAACTGTGTTTTCGATGAATCTCAGTGCTGTGTTGGCTTTCCGCTCATCTTCAAAAAACTTGGACAAATATTCACGCCGACCCTTTTCAGAGAATCCAAGGATCTCAGTGAACCTGGGAAACCTCAGGCACTCCTGTAGTTTCTCTGCAGCCCCAGGCCTTGTGGTGACTAAGAGGAAGGACTTGGGCAGGAGTTTCTTTGCCAGTAAGCTGGCCAGAATAACTTCCACGGACACTTTTGCATACGGATTGTCACAGAAATCAACTTCTGCAGGCTCTAAGAAGCAACGGAGCTCATCAAACCCATCAATGATGAAAAGCAACTTTTCAGGGTCGGCGAGGATTTCTTGCACTGGGGCATACACATCCTGGCACTGCTCTGCAATAAGGCCAGCCAAGCTTTTGTCCTCTTTGGCAAAGCTCAGCTCTCTGCAGCGAATGCAAAACACATAGTCAAACATGTTGGCGTACAGCTCCCCAGCGGCCCAGCCGAGCATGATCTTGTGCACCGTCATAGTCTTCCCGATCCCTGCAGGTCCTTGCAACACGACGGTCCTGGGAGGTCTTCCGGATTCGTCAGGTTTAAAAAGGCTTTTGATGTTTGTCGATGAATAGTCGTGGCTGCAGTTTTCCAGGATCTCCAAGTGCAGCCTGCCCGTGGCAGTCAGTTCGTGCTCCCTCTGCTTCTGAGGGCGATGCTTCCTGACAATCAGCAACTCTATATAGCGGGCATTCAAAGGGGTGCTCTCCCCAAACAGACTGTTCCGGTCTTCCATCAGCTGGTACTCCTCCATCACATTTGCAGCATATTTCTTTTTGTAACCTATCCGAGTGCCATACAACAAAGAGAAAGGCTCACCAGCTATGGGGATTCCTTAGGTAACCATATTGGCCTAGAGAAAGGCAGGCCCCTGCCAAGGGAGGAGAGGTGTGCTTCCACTCTATTATCCTTCTGCCAGCAGCCAGAGATCGATTCTTATCCAGGCCAACCTGGCACGTGGAAGCTGGCCTGCGCTTAACAGGATTCCAGTTTAGTTGGACGCTGGCAGTGGATTTTACCATTATTTGTACATTGCTGTTAATTTAGGTTTATAGTCTTTGCTTTTTATCTGTATTTCATTACGGCTCTTTTCAGTAGAAATGTGGGTCATAAATTGTGGAAAGAGGGTGAAGGGAATATTTTCTTGCATTCACGGTTGAAAGGGGAACATCCAACCTGAAGCCTCTCCAAAGGTCTGAGGGATGTTCCTTGCTCTCTCTTGACAAAAAACCCCCAAAACTCATGGGATTCCTCCCATCCCACTAACCCTTCTGATTGAAGTCAAGGGCATGGGGAAGGAGACTCAGATTCTCCTGTTTCATTTAACGTCCCAGCTTAGAAGGAAATTGTATGGGAGGGGGCATTCCCATTGCTCTTTCTATTCTTCCAGTGGAGGAAGGCACACAGTGGGTGAAGCTTGTGTGACCCAAGCAGCAGCTGTAGGAACTTTGCTACACTGAGCTCGAATCTGTGCACAACTTTCCTGTGTACTCTTACCTAGAGCCTAGACTGCACTCCTTAATCTCAGAGATTATAACAAAGGACCGACTTACCTTCGGTTTGAGAGTGACAGTCAGTGATTTAGACTGAAATATTCACATACCTTGAACGTGTTCCTTAAGCACTGAGAAATAATCAAAATAATCAATTAGATATGCTTCTACAGTTAAAGATATCTTTTTATTTTTAGATGTACTACTGCCTAAGAACCACTAAGCATAAATCCCAACACTTCTATTGGATACAATACTGAGTTCCAGTCAACTCTGAGGTAGCAAAGGCCAGCTTAACGTGAAGCAACATTCCATCTCCTCTCATCTGGTTTGTCAGGGCAATGTGGCTATAAGGCATTTGGCTTTATTATGGCTTAACAACAGCCTGATTTGCAATTAGTTCTACTGGAAAGGAAGGAAAATCCAACTGCATGATGGGCAGCCCAAGCTTTGGGATGACTGCAGGCAAGGTTGAAGAGTCAGAGAAGCCCTCTTATGGCTTATTGATTTATTGAAAGAAACTAAAGATAGAATTTTTGCACCACCTTTCTCCTAAACAAGAAACTAAGCTGGTTCACATCATAAAAAATATTAAAAACTAAAAACAATGAAGATGGGGTCAGCGAGTTTGCCTAAACACTCAATCAAGCTCTGCCGAGTATAACTATGGTACTCAAAAGAAAGTTGTTGGGGAATGGAGACATATATTAGGGATGGTTGTAGAAAGACTGAAGGTGCTATAGCGGGAGAGGAGGAAGAAATAATGAAGAGGAAAAGGGAGCGGGGGTGATCAGGGCTGGTGTTGGATGATTATCTCTCCAAAAGGATTACCAGTATTTATTTATGTTTATATTTTATTAATTACATTGATACCCCACTCATCTAGTGTGGAAGCACTATTCTGGGCGGCTAACAGCAGTTAAGAAAACAACTACATAATAACCCATTGAGAAAAGATAGGAGCCAGAGTAACACCAAGCCTCCAAACCCTAAATGTGATAGCCTGTCCAGGATACTGTGGTTGATGGTATCAAAGATACCGCTGGAAGATCCAGGACGACCAACAAAATCACACTCCTCCGGTTTTATATCCCGCCCATCTGGTATAATTATACGACTGGAAGATCCAGGACAACCAAAAAAGTCACACTCCCGTGGTCGGCCTCCCTTAACAAGTCATGAAGCAACACAACCAGAACTGTCTCTGTCTAAGGGCATGCCCCAAACAGCAGCAAACACTGAAGAATAGCAAACATATTAGACCCACATAGGATCAAGTTCATACATACCCTTGCTGAGTTTAGAAGCATTGTATTTCAGACCAATGTCTTCAAAGACAGTCACTATCATGGCAGGAGCCTTGTCTTCATAAAATTCAACCAGGAGATCCACAAGCAACAGCGGGTCCGCATTCTCCAGCCGCCCAAATGGAATATTCTTACCCCCAGGAGCAGCAGCATTACGCAGTTTGAACTTAAAGGTTTTAAGGTCTTCTTCACCGAGGTCTTCTAGGGCATCTAGCATCAAGTCCTTCATCACTGGTCTTCCCGGCGCCATGGTTAGTTCACAACTAGGCTGCAAAAACAGAACCATTCTAAACCACAGCAGAAATGAAACAAGTGTCATCAGCCACAGTGTCTCAGGGGTTGCCAAAATATGCAAAGCCACAGACATTTATCATACTCTTTTACAAAGCCAGCCCTGAACTTGACAGATTGACACTTACACCATAAAAAGGAAGCAAAGGTTTAGTTACGGTCAAGGCAGCCACCTCAACTTTAAAAACCAAGGAACACTTTCTGATTGAACCAAAGCGGTTAGTTGTGGTCTGTAAAAGCATAAGAAGTGGAAATAGTATTGTTGTTGAACATCCTCTCCTTCGTGTATTATTTTTGCCCTTCAGGCTCTAAATATAAGAACTTTTTTTGTTGCTAACTTTTCAACATACAATTCATTTTTAGTTGATTCCACTCATACTGCTATCTCATAATTCAGGGAATTTTGTTATTGTTATATTTGTTTTATTAATTATTGTGAATAGGTTCAGCTTCAAATTTGGGCGGTTCCTCATTTTTGTCGGGAAGTACCACAGAAGTCGTCTTCTTAACTTTAACAACTTCATATTTATTGGGTACAGGTGGTTCAACATTATTAGAAAAGGGATCAAAGAAGCTCAGCTCTGGCAACAAGCCGTAACTATCCAATGCATAATCAGTCCTTCCACCAACCGAACTCAGAGGGGTGCAGGGCCAAATCTCTCCGCATCCGTCAGCTTCCGTAAGGGCGCGCTCCACACCACGCAAATGGTGCCACAACATGGGTGCTTTGCCCAGTCTCCTTCTAATGGTGGAGTGTTGTGTCAAGCATCAGATTGGATAACATGGCGGCCTCTTCCCTTGTTCCTCGGGAAAACTACTACAGACCACTCCAGGGTCTTGTAGCTTAACTCCTTCCCTTCCTACGAGGGCGGCTCGGAGAGCAACCCTCCTAGCTTTAGCTTTGGGAAGTCCCTCAACAACTCTTGGGTCTTAACCCGTTTGTACTCCCGTAGCCTCTCGATCTCTCTCTTTCTCGTCCACAGCTCTACTTCTACCTCAAAACGGCGCTCTCCTAGGGTATTTATACTTTCCTCCCAGACCAACAGCTCCTGTTCCACCCCTTTTGCATCTTCTTTCTCCTCCACTAGGCTGACTTCAAACTTCCCGAGCTTTCATGTTTCTGTCTCCATGATCACGTTTTCTTTCTCGTCCTCTCGCCCTTGCCTGTTCTCTACTTCCTTTCCCTCTCTTTGTCCTTCACTAGCAGGAGATCGCACACTCTCTATTATCACTCCTTCACACTTACGGAAGTATTTGTTTGAACAAATGATTAAATCACTTTTATTATTTGGGATCTTACCAGGAGTCCTAAAAGAGTAAAAATTATTATCAATGACAGATTAAAATCAGATTCAGAACTAAATTTTAAAACTTTAGATTTAAAACATTCTCTAAAGGCAAAATTTAAAAACCATTCTTAAATGCCAATGGCCTTTCAAAACAATAGTTTTAGAATTCCACTGAAAGAAGGAACAAATTAGGAGGAAAAAAATGAAGAAAATAGAAAAATCATCAAGGGTAATTATAGAGACCAAGATCATTCTCACTTTTGTTTTCTGATCACCGTGTAGAGGTGTGAAAGCTGGACATTAAAGAAAGATGACCGGGAAAAATTGATTAAAGTATATATGGTGCTGGAAGAGAGATCTGTGAACACCCCAGGCTGGCAAAAAGACAAGAAGGTGGGTCCTAGACCTAATCAAGCCTGAACTATCTCTGGAGGCAAAAACATTGAAACTGAGTCTGTCCTACTTTGGTCACATCATGGGAAGGCAGGTTTCTCTGGAAATGTGGAAGGCAGCAGGAAAAGAGGAAGACCAAATAACAGATGGATTGATTCCCTAAGGGACCACAGGCTTGTGCTTGCAAGAGCAGAGCAGGGCAGTTGAGGACAGGGCATTTTGTAGACTGGCCATTCATAGGGTCCCCATAAATTGGAGGCAACTTGATGGCATGTAGCAACAAGAACACAAGCTGTTTCAGACTTTTGTAGAAGAAAACTAGCACCGTAAGAGGGGCTACACCCCCATCCAGAATATCATCCTAAACCCAGATTGGATTTGTTGTTAAAAAAAATTGTTTGTCTGAATGTATAGCTACTGCTCTTAATTGCTTGTTGTAAATCAATTGCTTCACTTTTTCCTGCTGAATTCTTAGATGCTATTCACGTTTTCAGCTGGTTCGGTGCCTGAGTGGCTGGTTGGGAGTTCGATTCCCCGCCATGCCTCCTGTGAGTAGAATGGTAAACCCCTTCTGAGTTTTGGCTCCCTGGAAAACCCTGAAAATAGTCGCCACCAATCGGAAATGACTTGAGGGCACAGGATTATTACAGTATTCATTTGCGTTTTTAACTAAAAACAGGACGTCGCTGATGACTCCTGTCAATAAGAAGCCCCCAGCCTAGAGGTAAAAACGGATTCGGCTGTCTTCCCCCTTGGAGGGAGCAAACTAGAGCGCGCAGGCACACCCGCCCCTGGCATTTTTGCACCCGAGTCCTGGTCTGCTTTCTCGCTCCTCACTCGATCCTTCTTCGCAAAAGGAAGGATCAAGTGATCCTTACATACACCCTTAGCCTACCCTGCCCGGAGTCGAGGAGGGCGTCGGAGCTTGTATAAATAACTCAGGATGCGAGGCGCCTCATCCCGTCCTGGGCCCCGTGTAGTTTCTTTGAGGCGCTGCTTCCCGCCTCTCCGCCAAAAGCCGCGCCAAAACATCCGGAGGAGAGCCGGGGAGGGGGCGCGACCACCATCTCCGGCCGCACCGGCGCGCCTCTTACCGGGTCTCGAAAACGAAAGGGAAAGACCAAGAGAGACAGACAGAGAGTCACCTTTCCAGAGCGCGCGCTCGCAGACGATCGCTAGCCCGCAGTGAAAGCGAAAGTCGCGTACCCATCACCGGCGGGGGCGGAGGGGGGGGAGCGGGCAAGAGGCCTCCGGGCGTTGCCGAGGCTGGCGAAGCCTCTGTTTCAAAACCCTTTTACCGGCAGTCAAATAAAATGTAAAATTCATTTAGTGTTTTTAACCAAGCATCCTTTTATTCAAGCATATTTTTTCCAATTATCTGTCATGTGAAACTCATCACTACCCACACGCTCATGGAGTTCTGTGAACATCTCCTGTTCATGCAATCAGCCCTTGGATTTAGAGAAAAATCCATGTTATCCCTAAAGCTTAGAGAAGATGTAGATGTCGGAACACCCGTGTTTAGGGCCAAGGACACCGGTTGGCAACTTGTGACCTTCCAGAATTTTTTGGACTGTAGTTGTTGTCATCATTCCTTACTGTTGCCTATACAGTATTGACTAGGATTGATGGGAGTTTCCGTCCAACATGTGGACTACAAATTGTCCACTATTTGAATTCTCTTATAAATTGTGGTTAAAAGGAGTGCTGGAATTCCATGTAGGAAAAAGTATCTTGACATAGGAGACTTCCTATATCTGATTCTCCCCCCACCCCCCGCAGGCATTTTTCTTTAGTTCGCTAAACATAATGAACCTCTTGCACTTTTACTTATATGGGTTGACCACCTCCTTTGTTCTTTTTCTTCCCCTCTTTGCCCTCCTCAAAACGCTTATTTTTATCCTTTTCTCCATTCATTGCTCATTCACTTTGAAGATTCTGTGCTGTTTGCTTTGTGTGAACTTGTAAAAATTGCTACTGTACTTGTGAAACAGTAGCAATTCTGAAGAAAAAATCTCAACAGTTGTAGCAGATACAGCTGCAGGTCTGCCTGGAAGTTCCTCATTAAGATTCACACTGCCGGATGGGAATCAATACCTAGTAGCACAGGTTGGAAATATTTACACAGCAGCAGCTGCACACTTTCTGTGAATCTGATTTTTCCCAGAAGCACTACTGAAATGGATAAACAAGGTTCAGCCAAGATCCTCTATAAATGAGATTCAGTTGCAGTTTGCTGTCACTCTTTTGAGGACAATGACCAGCAACCAGTTGCTGTTAAGTATTCTCTTCGACCACTGGTGGACCTTGTTAGTTATCAGTTTAGACCTCTTAGAAAAATTATGCCCCCCTTTCCCCCCCCCCCCTAAACCACCGTGGGTTTGCAGCCCCGCATCCTGCTACTCAGCCCTTGCCTATCCTTGAGGCAATTCAGCAAAAAAGCTCATTGTGGCCATCACCCTGCTTTGGCTCATGTAGGAGGTTGTTTGCATACACCAATGGGAGCTGTTGGGAGGCAGAGCCAGAGAAACCAGAAGGGAGGGGTGAGTCAGATAAGAGAACTAAAAGAGTTAAGAGTGAAACACGTTACTGTACTACTAATCTAGTTAATACATTAAAGTCTGTGAAGAACCTGTTTAAGCAAACTGTAATCAATAAACCTGTGTTATTCAACTTCAGCCTCCTGAAGCTGAGGCTCCAGTACTTTGGCCATCTCATGAGAAGAGAAGACTCTCTGCAAAAGACCCTGATGTTAGGAAAGTGTGACGGCAGGAGGGGACAACAGAGGACGAGGTGGTTGTACAGTGTCACTGAAGCTACCAACATGAATTAGACCCAACTCTGGGAGGCAGTGGAAGACAGGAGGGCCTGGCGTGCTCTGGTCCATGGGGTCACGAAGAGTCGGACAGGACTAAACAACAACAACATTCGACTTTATACTCAGCGTGGACCCTAATTAAAGGATGTTGACAGAGGTCACCTGGTGGCAGCGGAAAGGAGAGAACGTGGGGTGGGCCTCAGGGGCCACACGGGGTAAACACCACACTCACCCACAAGTAATTTAGACTTCCATGCATATTCTGCTGCTACTCGTAAGACTTTACACTCACAGCAAATAATACAAAATTAGAAGAACAGTGAGCCTCCTCATTCCATCTGAATGAAAGCTGCCTTTTACTAATGTGAATATTGTCCCGCGATGGTCAAGTGGGTTTTAATTTAGGTACCTTTATTTAAAGAGCTTTAACTGCTGAGGGATTTGTTGTAATTTTTAAAATATTATATGGTGTTATGATTTTATTGTATATTGTGAACCGCCCAGAGAATGACACTAATGGAGCAGTGTAGAAATGGAAATAATAGTAGCAGCTCAGGAAATATGCATAACTATGTACAACAATGTACAGTGGTGTCCCACATAGCGACGTTAATCCGTTCCGGATTAATCGTCGCTATGCAAAAACATCGCTAAACGGATCGAAAAACCCCAAACTAAGTTTAATGCGTTTCTATGGGGCCCAAACTCACCGTTCAGCGAAGTTCCTCCACAGCGCCATTTTCGCGCCCTCGGTAAGCGAGGGCAGGGCGCGAAAACACTTGCGGCGGCCATTTTGGGCACTCGGCGGCCATTTTGGAATCGCCGATCAGCTGTTGTAAAAACATCGCAATGCGAAGATCGGTAAGTGAAACGCTTACCGATCATCGCAATGCAAGTTTTTGCCTATCTAAACGTCGCAATGCAATCGCTTTTGCGATCGCAAAAGCGACATTGCTATGCGGATTCATCGTGAAATGGTGCGCTCATTAAGCGAGGCACCACTGTATAACAAGTAAGGGTGAACATGAATAGGTGTATCTTGCTATTTCTACTTGCAACTAATTGATGAGGTACTGGTACAGATCTTATTTGGGTAATTGGACATGTGACTGAGACACTTCGCAGACCATTATCAATTAGACACAATTATTTCTTTCTGAGTACCTTCTCAGCTTCTGAGATGGCCTACCACAAGTAGTATTTCCACCCCTCTTCCTTAGTTGTTCTCTATTAAGACTCAGTCTCTGAGATTACTGTGAGGATTCAAATTTTACCTCCTCTGGTCTCAACAGAGATACTGGGGACACTCACTTTGGAAAATCATAGCTATGTTTTATTGGAATGTGTCACAGCAAGTCTGTATGCTCAGACTTAGCTTCTGCATGGTCTTTTGTCACCAACGGGTCCCACAAGGGCATCCAAACGTCTTTATTAAAGGGATTACAGTTCAAGTCATTCCAAGGTCCCTTCAAAATCGGGTTACTGCTTTCCATCTCAGTAACTTCTGTCTCAGGGTTTAATAACGGGTTGGTCTCTTTATCTCGCCCCACCGACTCGTAAGGATCTTCCTCTCCTTGGAGAGAGGCCCACGGTCCATCAGGTATCCCCTCCTCTGGGCTTCCTCCAGACGCCATAACCGACGTTCCTTTTCCTCCCTTTCAACCGCCTCCTTTTCCTCCCTGAGCCGCCTGTGCCACTCTGGCTTCCGACTCACCCCAGTAGGAAGGATGCTGTGGCAGCCCCCTTCTCAGTCTGTAATCAGCTTCTTCCCTAGGGATCCACACTCTGTAATCAGCTTCTTCCCTAGGGACCATTTTTCTGACCATGGGTCCTCTATCCATATCATTTCCCCAACCTTCCGGTATTACGTCCACCTCCCTTTTTATATCTCCCATTCCTGCCTCTACGATGGACCTCCCCCTTTCTTCTCTTCCTGCCAACTCACTCCCAGTCTGCAGTCTGCGTGGTCACTGTCATCTTTGACAGTTCCCGCTCTATCTCGACGGGTGGTGTAGATGGGTCTGTCTGCACCTCTTGTTCCTTTTTGAGGGAGGACGACACTCCAGTGAGAGCATGTACCCTCTCGCCTCATGTCTCACAGTTACCCACCCAAGAAACCTGTCTTCCACTTCTTCATTCATCCCCTATCTTTCCTTCAGTGATACACTGTAGTATCTGTCATGATAAATCATGCATCCAAGACATTAGAGTGTGTTCTTTTTGTTTTCCCGTTTGATGAAGCAGCTCTTAATTCTTTAATCTCTGGGGGTGTGAAGAATTCTGCATGCCAAAAGCCTTTACTCTGTTGAGCATCTCCTTTTTAATAGTTCAAACCTCACATCCACATACAAACCTTGTGCAAACACCAATACGATTCTGGACACTTCTCGATCTAATAACTCTGCAATGTAAGGTTTGTGGTAGTCAAGTACTGCTTCATAACTAAGACAGAGCCTGTTTGAGATGGGAGATGGAGTTCACCAAACTTTGGCAAGGGGAGTCTTTGCCCTTGCACATCCATGATATGACAGAGTTGTGCTATTCCTTCATGTCAAAACCATACATCTGCTCCAACTTTATCTAAGTGCTTGGGTGCAGCAAAGCAACTGCCCTCAAGAAGAGCTGCCAGTGTCACCACACTGTGGAAGCTAGAGATAAGAAACAAGCCCCCCGCCCTTACACTTGCATTATTCTGGCATCAAAGGCTAAAACCCTGCAGCTATAGTTGAAACCAGAGATTTTCCAGAGACGTGATCAGCAGAGGTGGTTTTATTGTTTAAACACAAATGGAAAAGACACCCCAAGTTACATTACAGAATTAAAAAATACTTAGAAAATTGAGCCACCCCTCCCTTGGCACATGATCGTCTCCCTAGCTCCAACCCTTGGCCCCATACTACTGCACATTTATTCTGCTAAGCAGCTGCAGCAAACCAAGTTGGTATCTTCCAGCAACAGAAGCTAGTTGCAGAAACTGCATCTATGTGTATTGAAACTGCAAACAGAGCTGCCCACTATGCAGTCCCAACAACTTGATCTATGTAGATTCTTAAAAAACAAAACACCACACAATAATAAAATTGTGTTCCCAGAAACTAAGATTTGGTTCCATAAGGATTTTGCAGCTGCAAAGCAAACCATCTTTTCAAACTCACGGGGCATGAACCGCATAAATTCTGCTGTATAAAAACCACATAATTAAACATGCTCTTGTATAATTTAGCAGCTTCAGCTGGAATCACAAAGTCACAGGCTCCAACTGGGGAATGCAGCTTCTCAAGGGGCAAAGACAAGCATAACTCCCATCCATATTAAGT